TTAGGTCAAAACAATAAAAATTCTTGGGGCTGGGGTTGTGGCCTAGCATGGGTGAGGCACTGGGTTCCATCCTCAGCATCACATAAAAATAAAGGCATTGTGTCCACTTACAACTAAAAAAAATATATATATACATATATATGTACATATATACACATACACACATATATTTGTATACACACACATATATAATGTATATAAATTCTTAATATATCAATGCTATATTAATTTGTAGAAAAAAATTGTGTATGTAGTTCCATAGTTCCTTGGGGAAAAAATTCTTGGTTTTATGGTACAATGTGAAAAGTGAGTCTCTGGATGTTTAGTTACTTAATAACACTGTTTGGATAATTTGGTTTTGATTTACTAACACCATTTACTATGAATAAATTTATATCCATATTTTATTTCAATTCAGGAATGTAATTAACAGTTCTTATCACTAACTTTTTTCAGAAATGGTTAGAACTTCTATTTACTCACATTATTCATACTACAGTATGAAAGCAGGCTATATTTCTCTTGGCAGTCAGAATTTGATTGGATTAGAATAAATTCGAAGAGTCTAGTATTCTATCGTGTTTTACTGAAATCTTTACAGAAAATATCTTTCCCATTATTTAGTATTGTAGAAAAATTTACCACCTGTTGAACATCAATGTGGGCAATTTATTGCTACAAAAGAATAATTTTAGACTTGAGAGGAACATACCAACATGTTCTTAGTGTCAGGATTTGCCTTGAACCATACTAATTTTCCTTCTTTCCTCCCTTCCTTCCTTCCTTCCTTCCTTCCTTCCTTCCTTCCTTCCTTCCTTCCTTCCGGGCTGGCAATGGAACCCAGGGCTTCCAGCATGGTAGATAAGCCCTCTGCTACTGAACTACATCACCAACCCTATTATTACTATTAACTATTTTTTTTGTGTGTGTGTGTGTGTAGTGCTAGGGATTGAACCCAGGGCTTTGTGCATGCAAGGCAAGCACTTTACCAACTGAGCTATATCCCCAACCCATCAATTTTAAAATTTTGAGACAGGTTTTTACTAGATTGCTTAGGGCCCTACTAGGTTGCTGAGCCTAGCCTCAAACTTGCAACGCTCCTGTCTTAGCCTCCCAAGTTGCTAATCCTCCCATCACCCCTGGCCCAAGCTGACTGTAAACAGCAATTTATACTGTTACCTCTGAATCATATCCAATATAATATTCACTATAACTTTCCCCCCTTGTTTATTTGTAACAACCCTCTCTGACAGTGAAAAACCTGATTCTCATAATCTTTGTTTTTGAAAGGTATTTTTACCAGGTATAGAATTCTAAGCTAACAATAAAGGCATACATCAGAGATATTGCAGTCTCCATTCCAGACCAAGACAATAAAGCAAGTCACATGGTATTTTTGTTTCCCAGTGTATAAAAGTTATGTGTACCTTATACTGTAGTCTACTGAGTGTAAAATAGCATTCTGTCTTAAAAAAAACAATGTACATACCTTCATTAAGAAATAATTTATTAGAGCTACAGGTATAGCTCAGTGATACAGTCCTTGCTTCACTTGTGTAGGACCCTGGATTTGATCTCTAGCATTGGGAAAAGAAAGGAAGGGAGGGAAAGGAAAGAAATATTTTATCACTAAAATATGCTTATGATCATCTGAGCCTTAATGACAATTCTCAATGTTGATTCCTACTGACTGATCAGCACAGTGGTTGCTGGAGGTTGGAGTAGCTATAGCTATTTCTTAAAATAAGGTCATATTGAATTTTGCCATCTCAATCGACTTTCACAAAAATTTTCTATAGCATGGGACACTCCTAGCATTTTACCTACAAAAGACCTTCTTTCAAAACTGAAGTGAGTCTTCTCAAACCCTGCCATTGCTTTATCAACCAAATTTGTGAATATTCTAAATCCTTTGTGTCATTTCAACAGTGTACACAGCATCTACCAGTAGTTTTCATTTCAAGAAACTACTGTCTTTGCTCATCATACAAAATAACTATTCATCCATTAAAGTTTTCAATAAATTACAGCAATTCTGCCATATCTTCAGGCTCCACTTATAATTCTAGTTATCTTGCTGTTTTCATCACATCTGCAATCACTTACATCACTAAAGTCTTAAGCCCTCAGAGTCTTCCATGAGGATTGAACTACACTTTTTTCAAATGCCTTTTAAACTTGATATTTTGACCTCTTTCCGTGAATCGTGAATGTTCTTAGAAGCACCTAAAATGGCAAATCCTTTTGAGAAGTTTTCAGTTTACTTTACCCAGATCCATCACTATTGATGCCAACTTTAGTCTTACAAAATGTATTTCTTAAATAATAAAGACTTATCAGGGCACAGTGGTACACATCTTTAATTTCAGAAACTCAGCTGGCTGAAGCAAGAGGTAGATCACAAGTTTGAGGCCAGTTTGAGCAACTTAGTGAGAACCTGCCTCAAAACAAAACAGAAATTTAAAAGCAAGGGCTGGGGATATCACTAAGAGAACTTCCCTGGGTTCAATCCCTAGTACCACTCAATACATACATATATTTGTACTTAACAGTCAGAATTATTCCTTGATCCATGGGCTACAGAATGAATGCTTTTTTAAACAGGCATGCAAACATTAATCTCATTGTACATCTGCATCAGAACTCTGATATGACCAGGTGTATTGTCAATGAGCAGCAGAAACTTTTTTTTTTTTTTCTGAGCAGTAGGTCTCAACAGTGGGTTTAAAAATATTCGGTAAACCATGTTGTAAACAGATGTGCTATCATCCAGGCTTTGCTGTTCTACTTATAGAATACAGTCAAAGTAGATATAGTGTAATTCCTAGGGTCCCTAGGATTCTCAGAATGGTGAGTACTGACTTCGACATAAATTCACCAGTTGCATAAGCCCTAACGAGTGTCAGCCTGCCTCTGAATCCATGCATTGACTTCTCTGTAGCTATGAAAAACTCCTAGATGTCACTATAAGACTGTATCATCTACATGTAAAATCTGTTTAATGTAGCCACCTTCATCTTCATCAATAATCTTAGTTAGATCTTCATACTGCAGCTGCCACCTTGGAATCTGCTTTGATTTTTATATTAGGAAGATATCTTCTTTCCTTAAACCTCATGAGCCCACCTGTGCTAACTTCAACCTTTTCTTACATCCCTTAGCTTTCATAGAATTGAAAAGAGTTAGGGTCTTGCTCTGGACTAGGCTTTTGCTGAAGGGAATATTGTGGCTCATTTAATCTTCTATTCAAACCATTAAATCTTTTTTCCATATTCAGCATTAAGGCTATTTTCCTCCTTTATTCACATATTCATGGAAGCAACACTCATAATTTCCTTCAAGAACTTTTTCTTTATGTTCTCATTCTGATAAGAGAAGCCAAAATACTTACAGTGGCCTAGAAGGTCTGTATGATCTAATTACCTGTTTCCTTTCTTTTTCCTTTCCCTCACCTTATTCCAACCCAGCTATACTAAGCTGATTGTCATTTCTGAAACCAGCACATACTTAAATACTAGTTTTATTGTCCTGTTTTCTTCGCATAGTCAGTGCTTTCCCTAGATGGCCATAATAGAGATGTGACCAATTACCTTGCTTCTCTCAAACCCTTTAGCTTCTCAATTACCATCCTATTTAAAATTTCTGCCACCACATTAACATCTTTCCTCTCCTCCATTGTTCTTAAAATGCTTATTTCCCCTTTTTTTCTCAATATATGTCCCCTCCTTTACTTATTTATTTGTGAAGTTCATTGTTTAATATGCTCTTTCCTCTCTAGAACTCCAGCACTGCAAAGGTAGAATAATTTTCTATTTTGTTCCCTATAGGTGCCCAGTCTTTAATGTTTTATTATTTTATTGGCTATTTAATAAATCAGTCATTATAACTATTAGTATTTACTATCTTCTCAAAAATATTCCTTAAGTGTTAAAAATTATACTTAACTGAATTTCCTGCTGCCTTCAGTTTTTTTGCCTATCATTAATTGAGATACATCGTATTTAGAAGCTTTATATTCCTAACAGACTGGAGTGTAGTCAAAACTTTCACATTCTAACAATTGTAACAAAAATTCAAAGTCTTCCTTAAATCAACCAAAACTCTTCAACAGTAAAGTTTTATCTATAATGGGGTTTTGTTGTTGTTGCCTCTAATGATAAGTACTTGTAATACAAGTCTCAGGTATAGTTTAATAGAAATAGTATGACTTGGGAAAGAATGGGAATATCTTGGGTGTCAGGATTCCAACAAAGATTTTAATAACTAAATCATGATGAGTAGGGATAGCAGTTCATGTGGAGGTTCATGTACTCACTCTGAAGAACCAATGTGTACTTCCCTTCTGATTCCACATTCAATGATGTGACTTCAATAGCTTTAGATTATCCATGGTGGAATTGTTCTTATCAAGAAGTCAACAAGTACTACAAGTTAGTGTTTCCCACCACCCCAGCCATTTGGTACATCTTTGTTAGCATAACACTGTATTTCAGCAGATATAAATATGGGGCTCACATGCCTTCAGAATTGTGAAAAGTTCAAACTCTGCCTCTTTTGAGTTTGACTTCTTTCACTGAAGACTTGTTTTCTTTGTAGAGTAGGATAGTTGTCCCAGTATACCTCCCAAGTTTTATATACAATCCCATACTCGGCACYATAGAGAAACTCACTTTCTCTGCTGCAGTTTGAAAAATACTGGAGAACATCTTCACTCAGATGCCCACCTCTGCACAAGTCAATTTAGGGGTGAGGGTAGGGTACTGTGAGGGATTGAAAGATCAATATAAATAAAGATGTAAGAATTTTCACATCTTAAAGTAACTACGTGAATAGGAATCAGTTGACAGGGAAAGAAACAGGACATTGTGAAGCAGATGGTTCCACAATGTTTACTATACTTGGTAAAACAAAATGCAGCTAAATCAGAATCTTAGTTTTTATAATTCTTTAAATAAAACAGTATTTTTAACATAATTTTTTTAAATATGGTTTTTATTTAGGATTTGAACTACAGTTCCGATTAGGCCCAACTTTGCAGGGTAAAGCAGTTACTGTGTATACAAACTACCCATTTCCTGGAGAAACATTTAATAGAGAAAAATTCCGTTCCTTGGATTGGGAAAATCCGACAGAAAGAGAAGATGATTCTGATAAATATTGTAAACTTAATCTGCAACAATCGGGATCATTTCAGTATTACTTCCTTCAAGGGTAAGTGAAGTTAGGTGTTCTGTATATGGGGAAAAAAAGTTAATTCATTGTAAAACTTGAAGTTATGTAATTTATAAAAAGTTATCAACCATGGCAGTATAATTTTTACATTGCTTTTTGAGATACAAATAGAATATGGCTCTTCAATTTCTATGAGATTATCTAGTCTTTTCCTATAACCTGATTATAGGATGATATTTATTTAAGTGTGCTGGCTATTTCTGATAAATTCTAGTACATTTGTTTTTCATTAAAACAACATTATTAGATATTATGTATATTGTATGTGGTATAATTATATAGTAATTGTGCAATGTAGTATTAACTGTGTAATAATGCAGAATGGGTAAAAAATTGCTTTCCATTAAGTTTTGTTGCAACTTTGTAAATTATTGTATGTGTTAGAAATAATATAATTTTAAATAGGATAGTTCCTTCCAGTTATTCAGATACTAGAAAAATCTCACTTTTTCCCTCTCATTAAACGGAAAGTTTTAATTTTGCTTTTTTTCGTTAGAAATGAGAAAAGTGGTGGAGGTTACATAGTTGTGGACCCTGTTTTACGTGTTGGCAGTGATGATCACGTGTTACCCTTGGACTGTGTTACTCTCCAGACATTCTTAGCCAAGTGTTTAGGACCTTTGGATGAATGGGAAGACAGACTGAGGGTTGCAAAAGAGTCAGGTGATGTCAGCTTGGTTTCTTTTCCTTTTCTTTTTTAAAATAAATGTAATTATCTTCTGAAATACAGATTTCAGAGGCTTTGCTCCTACTTCTAATTTCACCTCCTAATATATTTAGTAATTATATGAACCATATGAAAATAGAACCATATGAAAATTTTTAAAGTTGACCCTTTTTAATCCATAAAAATGTCAAGTTATGTGGTTCAACTTAAGGACATCTATGATAAAATGTCATCATTGTTATTTCTGAGATTTTTGCTTTGACATATAAAACCAGTAGCAAACTATTAAAATGTAGAGGAAATATATTATTATATAATTTTATTATTTATTTATTTACTGTATAATAAAAAATTTTAAGTAAATTTTGATGACAGAGTTCCATGTGATATTTAGCACATGTTTTAGAAATAGCCTAAGTAACTCAGTAACAACATTGAAACCAAAAAGAATAAATGAATCTACAAATGTGAATGATTTGTATTATATAATTTTAATTAATAAATATTGACTTTCCACATGGAAGGCATGAGCTGCCAACAATACTTACAGTAAGATAAAACTTATTTTACTCTTACATAAAATAGGAGTAACATTAATTTTCTATTTTCAAGTTAAATGTAGGATGAAGAAAGGAATGAAAAGTTCTCTGGCATAACTATGTACTATAAGTACTGTGAAACATTAAAATTATGAGATGAGTATATACTGATATTTTTGTGTATAAATATATCTATTCAACAAATAGAAATTGAATCCCTAATAATAACTAAGCACTGTTTTGTGATTTTTTTCTAGTACACTATTTTATTACCTTGGTCTTGTAGATGAGGACACTGATATTCTGAAAGATATAAGTGGACTTGCTTAAAGTCTCTTTTGGTACAGCTAGAATTTGAACCTAAGTCGTTGACTCCATTTCCAATAGCATGGTAGCCTTTTTATTTTACTTAAGAAAGTTTACATTGATATTTTTCTTAGTTTTAGGTTGGTTTTGTTTGTTTTTTCTTACAGTGGTCTTTGTTGTCTTGCTTTTCAGGTTACAACATGATTCATTTCACCCCACTGCAGACACTCGGACTATCTAGGTCGTGCTACTCCCTTGCTGATCAGTTAGAATTAAATCCTGATTTCTCAAGACCTAATAAAAAGTATACATGGCATGATGTTGGACAGGTCGTGGAAAAACTGAAAAAAGAATGGAATATTCTTTGTATTACAGATGTTGTCTACAATCATACTGGTATGAACTTCATTAATTTTGATGAGAATATTAAATTCTGATTATTTCATTCCTCAATATTTTATATAACAGTTTGTTTCAGTGATGGGAACTGAACTCAGGGCTTCAAAACTGTTAGGCAAGCATTTCACTATCAAGCCACATCCTCATTCCTTATGTAATGTAAATTTTATAGACATACATAATGTCTTTCAACTTCAAATATCACTGTATATAGTATCACTTTTTTTGTTCCAAGAAAACAGTGCTAGTTGAGGATATAGTCAATATATAATTTGTATGTGATGTTTATAAAAAGAGTCATGATAGAAAGAACCTAATAATCATATTTCAACATAGAGTATTAATACTTTCCAGACTAACAAACATATTCTGTATAGCAAAATATCTGGTACTATAGCACATATGAAAAGAAGTACATGATTTCTACTACTGGGATGAAAATTATCAGTAAACTCTCAGAAGTTATATCCTTCACATATTAAAAGAGCTTTAGATCATCTCCAGCACCAAAAAAGACTATTTTTGTTCCCAAGATACCTTAGCTATATAGAGTTCTATAAAATGTACCAAATTTTTTCAACTGATGATCTTCAAGGAGATAATTATTCCTCTTACCTGTCATAGCAACTGAGTCTGGACTGATGATGCCTCTGGGCATGTATTCAGTTTAACCCAGTATATCTTATAAAATATTRTGTGGGCCACAATGTTGAAGAGTGTGGAAACCACTAATTTGCATATGTATAGAACAGGAATTCTGGGTGGTTCAAAAATTCAAGAAATTTCATGAGGTATTTTCCAAGTAATCATAGGAATTATGAAGATACTTAAATTTATTGATCTATTTCATCAATATAGATGATAATCTCCAACAACAGCAGCAAAATTAGGTTGAAAAAATAGATATATTCTAACATTCGATGTTTCTTTGTGTGCCTGGAAACCAGGTTTCAAAGTCTACAGTGAAGCCATTGTAATCTAACAACTAAGTATTCATTACTTATAAAATTGACAGTATTGGTAATTACTTAGGCATCTATAATATTATTTATGTCAAATTCATCAAATCATGTGAAGGCATTGTATTAGTTACAAATGGTAAAAGTTAGAATATGGCTTAGGTAGCTGTAACAGAGAGACAGAAAAAGTGACTTAACATTGAGATTGTATGTAGATTTTACAAAAGATTAGGTAGGCATTTCAGGACTAGAGTACTAGCTCAATGGTGCAGGGAAAGGAGGTTGTTTCTCTTGTAGCTCTGCTGTCTCCATTGCTTTGCTTACAGCTTTTAATCAAACATGGCTGCTCCAATTCCTGTGTCATATCCCACCCAGAGAAGATGGTAAAGGGAAGCTATGCCTTCTAAGTGCATGGTCTAGTATATGTGTTACTATTGATCATATAGCGAGACAATTACTGTTCTTACATTAGATAAATGCTCTCCGTATGCTAAATGTTCACAGGATAATTTTCAGAGACTTTAGATGATTGTATTTTATAATTCTCACCAATTGTTTTGCTGGGGATAGTATTTGCTGAGTTCTATACTACTGCACTCCAGAAGTCTATAGAGTGGATTTCTCTTTCATGTAAAATTAGAAAAATACTTACACTACCTAATGTTTAGAATTCTTTCACTTACCACTTGATTTTGTATCAAAATATTGAGAAAAGAAATAGAGTTTTAAGATTTTACCCTTAAAAACAATTGGGTAGAGTCAGACATGAAGATGGCCAGCCTCTTAGGAATCTGAGGCAGAAAGATTGTTTGAGCCTACTAATTCAAGACCAGTTAGGGCAACATATCAAAAGAAAAAAAATCAGGATATCCTTGGCATTTATCCTTAACATACATATCTGTGTGTGTGTATGTGTGTGTGTGTGTGTGTGTGTGTGTGTGCGCCCGTGTGCGCCTGTGCCCACGCACACGTGCACAGTCCTCAGAATCAAACCCAGGGCCTTGCTCATGAGACTCTACCACTAGGTTACATCACCAGTAAGTGAAAATCCTAATGGGATACAAATATGACTACATTTTGTCTTTTTAACTTGAATTTAAGTGAATGTGATGATAAATCTAGGGGGCAGTATCTTGGTACCAATTTGGAGAACTATCAGTTTAACTATTTTTTTTTTTTTTTGGCAGTACTTGGGCCTTGTGCATTCTAAGTAAGTTATTCTGCCACTGAGCTATATCCCCACCCCTTTTTATTTTATTTTGAGACAGGGTCTCACTAAGTTGCCCATGTTGGCTTATCACCTCTTGATCCTCCTGTCTCAGCCTCTCACATAGCTAAGATTACAGATGTGCACACCAAACTGGGCTTTAATTTCACTTTTATTATATGATCTCTGCTCCTTATATATCCTGACTTCACCTAAGTGTTTATTTATTGTGGGTATAAATAAATAGTAACTAAATTGCTTACTAAATAAATGACAGAAACTAAAAATGATACTGATTCTAAAATTCTGTAAGAGTGCTCACTGAGTAAATAAGACACAAACATGGTCATCTCATCAGCACAGCAAAGTGGTCACAATTGCAGATTCTGAAGAGAGACTTACATTAATTCTTCTGGCCAAGTTACTCAACCCTTGAGCCTTAGTTCCTCCTCTGTGAGAGGAACAAAACAGTATGTTCTGTATTGTGTGAGAGGAAATGAAGAATAACAAAGTGTATTTAACTGCATAGAACAATTCTGGGTGTGCAGTAGGTATTACTTTCCATTTTTCTAACCACTTGTATTCCTCAGTATGAATTCAGGGGGCATTAGTCCATTGTAAACATAAAAAAAATTGGGTCTAACTTTTGTCTATTTAAAAAATTAAATTAGCAATTTCTCAGTCTCATAAAAACAACATATTTTACTCTTTAGGATTAGCTGTGCAAAGATGTTACTTGTGAAAGAACTAATTTTTCTTCCTTCATATTTTCCTAAGCAATATTTAAGTTAAAAAACAAGTGTATGAGAAGATACCAAAATCAAAGTTTTTTTTTCCATAAAACAGAATAAGTATAAAATATCGATATCTAAATATAGAAGGAAGTGGGTGGTAGATGTTGATATTTCATCTTTAAACTTAACATAGATACCATTTTCAATTTAATTATAAGATATAAGTTTTCTTTTGTTCAAATTTATTTGTTTTTATTTTTTTTAAGCTGCTAATAGTAAATGGATCCAGGAACATCCAGAATCTGCATATAATCTTGTGAATTCTCCACACTTAAAACCTGCCTGGGTCTTAGACAGAGCACTCTGGCATTTTTCCTGTGATGTTGCCGAAGGGAAATACAAAGAAAAAGGAATACCTGCTTTGATTGAAAATGATCAACACATGAATGTAAGTATTTATACAGTAATACCACACTAAATCAAAATAACAAAATTTCTTAAGTACAAATTAAATATATAGCTGAAAATTATTTATAATCAGTGTTTTAATATGTTAAACAATATTTGGTGAAATATTTAAAAATATGTTTTAACTGTTAAATTTTTCAGTGTATTCGAAAAATAATTTGGGAGGATATTTTTCCAAAGATCCAACTCTGGGAATTTTTCCAAGTAGATGTTCACAAAGCAGTTGAACAATTTAGAAGACTTCTAACACAAGGTACATAGATGCAGTAGATTGTTCCTATCAATTTTAAGAAATTTAATATTACTTTTAAAAGGATAACTCCTTTTTTTTCTTAGTTAATATTCCTTAAATCTGTTGTTTTGATACAATATTTTTGTTATTTTTGGTATTTGAAAACTGATTCTGGAAGCTGAAACATCTAAAGGGCATGCTCTAATAATAAAACCAATTTTTATTTTATTGTTGGCAGAATGCTCAGAATATAGTCAAACTCAGCATATATTTGTTAAAAGCATGAATGGGAATTAGGTAGAGCAGGTTACTTCAGCTGAGAAAGGCTTGTACAAGGCTTTGAAATCGAGAAATGTGAATCTTCTGCTGTCTAAGGTAAGAATCTTAACTATGCAAGAGGGACTTCCAACTGATGGTGCTCACCACAAACACCCTCCTTACAACTAGTGAGACTGAAGTTAGATATTAGCTAATAATAAAAGGTAAAGAAATAAATATTCAGTTAAGGATGTAACTAAGCTAGTTAATCAGTGTTCCCTTAACAAAATAAGAGGAAAAAACATACTCAAAGAGAACTTGAGGTTTTTAGGAGACAAATTAGAAAGGATTATGAAGAAAGTATCTGCAAGTAGTATGGGACAGCCCCGCAGGGAGGATGTTTGGGGACTCGGGAGGGGTTCTTTTAAAATAGGAAATTTTCTTCCTTGTCCAGAGACCAAAACTAGAATAGGACCCAAATATACTGCCTTTGAAGTAGAAATGAGTTTGCCTTTACATTTAAGAACTCAGTTGGATTCAGGCATCAACTTTTACAAGTATGTATCACCTTAATACAGGAACTTTTAGTCCTGATTTTGCTTCATATTTCATTCACCAAAAATTTCTCTCTCCTTTAATATTTATAAGTAGTATCATTTATATGTAATATGTGTGCTCATTGTAAAGAGAAAAAGCCCCAAATAGTTCAAAATATAATAAAATACAATGTGCAATTTCCCCTTCTACAAAACATACTTTGAGGGAACTACCAAGTAATAGTTTCTGTGTTTCCTTTCAGATTATTTTTGAAAGAAATTCAGATTTTACATGTGGTTTTACATAATTCTCTCTGTAAACTATATTTACACTCGTTTTATATTTGTATATATGTTACATACATTAAACTAAAGCATGGACTATTTAATTTGTTCATTAGCTGACAATATGAATTTATTATAGTTATTTCTCTTAACTCCCAAGTAGCAATACACTGTTTTAACGTACTTTAACTGGTTGGGATTGTTACTCAGTGGTAGAGTGCTTGCCTAGCACGTGTGAGGCACTGGGTTCCATTCTCAGCATCACATAAAAAATAGATAGATAGATAAATAAACAAACAGACAGACAAACAAATGTTTAAAAATAAAAAGAGTACCTTTAACTAGCTTTTTTTTCCAATTTTATTGTAATTCTTTCATTCAATGCATTTTTATTGATCCACCTACTGTGTGCTGGACACTCAGGCATGAGAATTCAGTGGCAAACATAGCAAGAACCTTGCCCTAGTGGAACTTATATTCTTATAAGCAGTACTATCTAAAATATACCCTGTATATGTATGTTTATTTGCTATATAAGTAGATCTACAGGATAAATTGTTATATGTGAAACAAGTAGGTCAAAGGATATGCAAATTTCAAATACAATAGATATCATCAAATTGCTTTTTTAAAATTATACCTACTCACATGTTTTGAAAAACTCTCACCAACATGTGATACCAATAATCTTTAAAATCTTTTTTCAATCAGGCAAATCATCTTGGTATGTATGGTTAAATATCTTGTCTTAGTTGATATTTCTTTTTATGTTAATGAAGTATCTTTTCACATGTTAATTAGCCACTTACATTTCTTGCATTAATTGTGTGTTAGTATTTCTTCCCATTTTTTATTGGACTGTTTGTCCTTTTCAAATTGATTCATTATTATTGATGGTTCCTTATTATATATATATGTTAAATATATTCTCTTAGTATGCTGTTGATCTTTTAACAATTGCTTATGGTGCTGTTTATTTTCAATGTAGTCGTTTCTTTTATGGCTTTTCACATCATGTTTAGAAAAGGCTTTTCATAAACATACTGTTTTTTCTAATAATATTATTCATATTTTCCAATAAAATATTTTATGAAGCTACAATTTATGTGTATCACATGAAAAAGGTATTTAGCTTTATTTTTAAAATGTTGTTAAATTGATAATCCATAATTTACACTGATTTGAAATACAACCATAATGCTTCTTAGTGTATAGCCATATCCTAAATATATTTTAGGCTTTTATCTGTGTTTTCCATTTATCTGCCTTCAGTTCTACCAATACTGAAAATTATTTATTGATACTACTGGTATAGATTTGTTTTTTTCTTTCTCAAGCATTTTTTAGCAGTTTTACTCTTCCAGATGAACCTTAGAAACTGGGTTTTAAGAATCTGTTTTATTTTATTGCTTGTGTTTTTGTAAGCCATTTCAAGGTCTCTTTAGAATAAAACAAGGACAAATTAATTAATTCATGGAAAATTAAGCCTAGTATATAACAAAGGAAAAAGCCCACAAATTGCTTTATTTTAAAGAAACAGGCCAAAGGAATTTATTGTGAGGAAGGGTTCTTCAAAGGAAAACAAGAAGCAGGAGGCTGTGGGGAAGTTAGCCTAATAGGTGACTTACCACTTGCCCAGTAATTCTTCCTCCTGGAGGCAGCTGGCACCTCAAGACTAGTTGGGGCACTGGTATCTCTCTCCATCTCCCGGGAGTTGTGTTTGAACCTGGGCCTGTAACAGAATTCTCTCTGAGTCAGACATCCGCAAAAGCAATGGCGTGGTCTCAGATCAGTGAAATTGCACCAATTGTTCTCCAAAGGGCCTACCTCCGTTTAGAGTTGGCTCAGATGTGCCCACCGTTCATTCCCACCTTCCATCACAAGTACTTCTTTCAGAGAAAGCAAAGAAAGTCAGGTTTTTAATAAGATTTACTTTAGAATTGGAAGCAATCTTTGAGGAAACACAACTCCTGAGGTTAGACTATTTGGTAGCACTTGAGAAGAAAATGCTTCTACCAAAGTCCAGATGTCATAAAGTTTAATAAGTAGGGCTGAAGGAGTTGAGTATTTCCTGGCACTCATAAAGCCTTGAATTTGATTCCCAGCAGTGTTAAAAAAAGAAGAAGCAATAGTAGTAGTGGACATTGACTGAGAGCAAAAAAGTGGGGCTTGAGTTGAACAATCCCTATGTTTGTTTGTTTTTTGTTTTATAATGATATTTTTGTCTCTGTGTGTTATCCCCACCCACTGTGTGTATGTGTATGGTATGTGGTATGGAGATGATAAGCAGGAGGATGGAGGGGTAGGAAGATGTTATGAAATTAATATTCGTTTTATTTTCTATGAAATAATTGTACATTTAAAATTTGAAATCAGGGGCTGGGGTTATGGCTCAGCGGTAGAGCATTCACCTAGCACATTCGAGGCCCTGGGTTTGATCCTCAGCACCACATAAAAATAGATAAAATGAAGGTATTGTGTACAACTATAACTAAAAAATAAATATTTAAAAAAATTTAAAATCAGTGACAGTTATAATCTCCCTGTGAATATTTGCATTTAAGCACTCATCTTTTCTTCTTTCAGGAAACAGGAGAGTAACCAAGTCTGATCCGAAGCAGCATCTGAAGATTATTCAGGATCCTGAATACAGACGGCTTGGCTGCACTGTGGATATGAACATTGCACTAGCGACTTTTATACCACATGAGTATGTTATTTGTTTTCTTTGTGAAATAAATACTGCTACTACTTATAAACCATTATGGCTACTATAATTTTCAAAAAGCTTATTGAAATCCTTCATATGAAATGAAATAGGCACCATAATTCTACTTCAGCACATGACATATTCATGTTTTTTATATGTGCCAGGTCATATTCCTGTGCATGTATGTAATAGTCTTTACTGTTGTAAAAGTTTTTCAGTCATAATAAGATTCTGATGATTAAGATTTCTATGACCCTTGTTAGAAAAATTTTATATGTAAGTTTTGTAAAAAATGTTAAATAGGTTTGTATTGCCTTATCTGCTCTAGCAACGGGCCAGCTGCGATTGAAGAATGCTGTAATTGGTTCCGTAATAGAATTGATGAATTGAATTCAGAGAAGCATCAACTCATGAATTATCATCAGGAACAGGTTTTACCTATATTTATTGCTTTTCTTTGAGTCTTTAAACTATTTTTTTTATTGTTGATGATGATGCAATATAATTTAATGTTTTCCAGGCAGTTAATTGCCTTTTGGGAAATGTGTTTTATGAACGACTGGCTGGCCATGGTCCTAAACTAGGACCTGTCACTAGAAGATATCCTTTAGTTACCAGGTATTCCATTTTCTTTTCTTTTTGTGAATGATTAAAAACTAAAATTTGTTTTTAACTGTGAATTAACCTAAATGTTTCCTTTAAAGCACAACTTCAGTACATTTCTTAAACTACTAGAGTTTTGATTTGGAATTAGGCTTAATTGTGTTAGGCAAATCTTTAGTTAGAAAAATGATCATCCATATGAACAAATTTATAGTTGTTGTTATTTACATTAATGTTTCTGGAGGTTTGCATACTTAGTGTCTTTGTCTGTTTTCTGTTGTCGTAACAAAATACTTGATGTTGGGTAATTCATAAGAAACAAGGTTTAAGGGCTGGCGTTGTGGCTCAGTGGTAGAGTCTAGCATGTGTGAGACCCTGGATTCAATCCTTAACACCACATAAAAATAAATAAATAAAATAGTTGTGTAGTTTTGTCCAACTACAACTAAAAAATAAATATTAAAAAAAAGCAAGATTTAGTTTTGTTCAAGGTTTTGGAGACTTGAGAAGTCTAAAAGTGTGACACCAGCATTTACTCAGTTTCTGGTAAGGGCCTCCAGCTGCCTCAACTCATGATAGGCAAGTGAACACATATGAAAGAGACACATATGAAAAGACAAAGCAGGAGGGGCAGTCTTACTTTCTAACAACCCACTCTCTTGATAACTAATCCAGTCCCTTGTGTGAGTTCCTCCCACAAGAAAGGCATTAATTCATTCATGAGGGCTCCACTCATATGACCAAGTACTAAAAATAATGCCCATCTTCTAACACTCTCACATTAAGAAATTAAGATTCCAGCACATGAACTTTTGGGAGACACACTCAAACCATAGCAGTTAGTGATAAATACAGTGTTAATCAAATTGAGCAAGCATTTAGATCCTTATTTTCTCCTCCTCCTCTTTTTTTTTTTTTTTTTAATTTTTGACAGTGCTGGGGATTGGGCTCAGGGGCTCCACAAGCCATCTACCATTGAGCTATACCCCAACTCCATAGTTCTTTACCCCAACTCCATAGTTCTTTACCCCAACTCCATAGTTCTTTACTTTATAGATAAAACGTAACATAAATTGGGCAACTAGAAGATAGTAAAAGCCTTTGAGAAGTAGCATCAATATCTCAATTGTTTTCTTGTGATTTTAAGAGAGGTTTTAAAAATTCCTTAAAATGTTAGCATTATATATGCTACAATATTAACTCCATTCGTCAGATCCTATTAGATTTACTGCCATTTGGGGAGGTAAATAATGTTTATTGATTTTTTACCTATATTGAAGTTTTTTTTCCTGTAAATGGTGTCACACTAATTTTATTTATTATACTCATAAGGAAAGTTTAATTTTTAATGTTGCTAATTCGGCTTCTCTTCAAGCAGTTTCTCTGTGTGGATTTAATATTTAATTTTATCTCTATAGGTATTTTACTTTCCCATTTGAAGAAATGGCCTTATCTGCAGAAGAATCTATGATTCACCTTCCAAATAAAGCTTGTTTTTTCATGGCACATAATGGATGGGTGATGGGAGATGATCCTCTTCGAAACTTTGCTGAACCAGGTACATCACTTTTGACTTCTCAATGGATAGGGAAAAAATTTCATAGAATGTTCAGTATGATCTGTTTTTTTGATTTGTTTCCCCATTAGGCTAGAGGTTTTTAAACTGTTTCACCAGTTTGAGAGAGAAGAAAAGGAGGTAGAACTTTGAAACTAATGGTGTTATAATTACATCTACATAAGAGAGATTTTCAACCACTGACCAGAGAGGTATTAAGGTATTTGAAAGGCAGTTATACCAGAAACTAATTTTTTTTTTTTTTAGGTTCCCCTCACTTACTCTAGCATCTTGTTTTCAACAACCATGTTATTGCCAGGAAGCATTTTATAGGAAACACCTTGATATGTATTTTTTTCAACAGTTTAGAATTAGTAGTTTATTATTGTGACCTTAGAATTGATTCAGAAATCTTATATGCTGTTATTTAAGAATATGACCTTGGGCTTAAGTATTTCTGCCCTTTCTTTTCTAACCATTCTAAACGAAAAAAAGAAATTCTTCTGTATGCCATGAATTTAATATAACCTCTTGCCAAAATTGAGTAGCAAGTTGGAGACGGAGCCTTAAAATGTTTTGGTAGAACTATAGTTATAAGAGTCTATGATAATACTATCACTATTTTTCCTCAGGAAATAACTTGGAATTTTGCAATTGAGCTCAAACTTTTAGAAGAGACTATAAGATGTAATTTTTGCCACATATATATAAGATAGAAAACTTTGTCCTATATCATTTTAGATATGATTTTAGCCAATATATCATTTATGGTAGAAATAATGCAGTTTTAAATTGGTATAGTTCCTTGAAGTAAATGTTTTTATTCTATTTCTTAAGCCATTGAAAACAAACTTCTTTTTTAACAGGTTCAGATGTTTATTTAAGAAGAGAACTGATTTGTTGGGGAGACAGTGTTAAATTACGCTATGGAAATAAACCAGAGGACTGCCCTTATCTCTGGGCACATATGAAAAAATATACCGAAATAACTGCAACTTATTTCCAGGGAGTGCGTCTTGATAACTGCCACTCAACACCTCTTCATGTAGCTGAGGTATAGAAAAACAATTCATCCACATTAAGCAAAGATATTCAAGATTTCTTCCCAGCTTTCCTCAAGTAGACTGTATAGATAGGCGTTTCACTCGGCTAGTTGAACAAGAGCATTGATTTGGCATTGAATTATATTTTTGTATAATTTGAATAATTCTAAAAATCTTTAAATGCAATTGTTAAGGAATACTGGGTTATAAAATGTTTAGCAAGTTAATTTTTAAATTTTAATTCAGGAAGAATTCAGGAAGAGCGATCATGTTTGTCAGTAATTCCATTTTTATCAATTATTTATGAAAACAAAAGTGTAAATATAACTATTGTCTATTCCTCTTTTGTTCTTTTTAAAGCAACTTTTGAATAATGCCAATATTTATAATATTATATTCTACCAATATTTATAATATTATATTCTTTTGAGGGATTTAGTAAACATTAATTAAGTAAACATGAAATAAGAATATTGGCTGATAGAACATTATTTACCTCCCCAAATGGCAGCTCTTTGTCTTCATATTGTGCTGTAACAATAGCAAAAAAATATATACATATATGTACACGCACATATATATATACTTATAACATTATGGCACAACTAAATGTTAAAGCTAACTTAATTCACTTAATTTTTTAAGGTATAAAATCCTCTAGGATTGTGCTTGTTAGGATTCCAGGTATTTTGTTATCTTTTATGTAAGGATATGTTAAAACATTTTTGGAACCAATCTAATTTTTTTATTATAAGCTAATGTTTTCTGATTCTGTGTAGCATCAATGTAGATCATAAATCTCAGAGATAGAAATTGTAATGAGTTTAATCTATTTTGTCCTATAATCCCAGATATGGAATGCATATAAAAACTTAAATAGAGTATACAACATAGAATACATATTATATAATATTATTAATTATATAATAATATAAATTTGATTAATATATGTAATCATAATCTAGATTATGATTTTTTTACCTGTTTTAATGTACCTATGTCAATTTCATTGGGATATTTACAGAATTGAAAATGGGACTCAGTGGTTTAAGAGTTTGTTATATGCAGGCTTCAATTTGGTCAGTCAGACCTAAATTTTACAATAATTCACCAGGAAGGAATTTATCATTAATTACTTAGGAAACCACCTGGAAATTAACAGTCTGACTAGATATTAAAAACAAACAAACAAGGGCTGGGGTTGTGACTCAGCCGTAGAGCACTCACCTACCATGTGCAAGGTCCTGGGTTCCATCCTCAGCACCACATACAAGTAAATAAAATAAAGGTATTGTGTCCAACTACAAACTAAAAAATATATACACAAGAAGCAGGGAGAAATACTAGCAGAATTGCAGTGATACAGGTTACATTTTTTAAAAGCACTAACATTTTTCTTCTTCTTTTCTCCCTTGTGTCCCTATCTCTGCAAAATCTAAACTTCTTTTTAACTGCTTTACTTTACATATTCTCATATTCCCTATGTTCGTTGGTTCTGTTTGTTGTTTTGTCACATTTGTACATCAAACTTCATTTGGAATTCTTTCTGAATTTTCATTTTGTCTTACCATATGTATCTTCTTGTGTTAAACCCATGCCTAGTCTTGTCTCCTCCCTTCCTACCTGTCTCACTTTTCTCTCTTTTACATGTGTGACTGTGCTTTTTTCAGTACATGTTGGATGCTGCTAGGAAATTACAACCCAATTTATATGTAGTAGCTGAACTGTTCACGGGAAACGAAGAACTGGACAATATCTTTGTTACTAGACTGGGCATTAGTTCCTTAATAAGAGGTAGGCTTGTTGAAGTGTCTTTCCCATTTAAAACTTCAGCTTTTGTTTAAGTGTACTAAAAGACATTTAGTAGTTTTTTAATGTAATTATTAATAATTTTCAATACAATTAATATTCTTTTGGATAGCCTATGGAGAGTTTCCAATCTAAATCTATTTTTATCAGTAAATATTTCTACTTTGGGGTAAAAGATCTCATTTCAAATCACAAGGTTGGCAGGATGATCTAATGGCTCACAATCAAAACCATTTTTTGTTGTTAAAAATATATAAATCTATTCTTTATTTTCTACCTGGGTATATGATATAATCTTTAGATTTTTTCCTATAGATTTTTGTATAGCTAACATCTCAATAAACACCTGAGGTTTCCTTTTTTCTATCTGAGCCATCTCTCCCCCTAAGTTATAAAAGACTGCTTTGGTCACTTAAACTAGTAGACATTTAGTAATTATCATTAATTACTTAGGAAATTGCTTAAAAAAGTTGTATTTTTGATTATACTGATGTGTTCTTTATTTTAAAAATCAATTGTGAAATTTAACCTTTTCTTGGACATAAGTAATAGAGATTGTTAAAATGTTCTGTAATGCTCCACAGAGGCAATGAGTGCATATAATAGTCATGAAGAGGGCAGGTTAGTTTACCGATATGGAGGCGAACCTGTCGGATCTTTTGTTCAGCCCTGTTTGAGACCCTTAATGCCGGCTATTGCACATGCTCTGTTTATGGATATTACCCATGATAACGAGTGTCCTATTGTGGTAAGCATCATTCCATTTCTTGTATTTACTTATTTTGTTAGATATTTTCTTATCTGATATTTTGTGGCATGAATATCCACATACTTCAAAATAGTATCTTAGATTTAAAAGCAATTATAGCTTATGGTTTTAAAGATGTTCTTTTGTTGTAGAACAAATTAATGTTATCTTATAGAATGTATTTGTGTAATTATTTTTTATTTCATTATGATACAGAATTTTACTTATTTATTTTATTATGATACAGTGTTTTTCCTTTGAAAGAAAGTATATTTTGCTTTTTAATTGTTTCCTAGCATAGATCAGCCTATGATGCTCTCCCAAGTGCCACAATTGTTTCTATGGCATGTTGTGCTAGTGGAAGTACACGAGGCTATGATGAACTAGTACCTCATCAGGTTTGTTTATGTGTTGTTTTTTAAAGTTCATATAATTAGCATTTTTATCAAAAAACTCTCATTGTAATTAAAATGTATACATGGCCAAGTTTTACCGTTCTCCAGATATCAGTGGTTTCTGAAGAACGGTTTTATACTAAGTGGAATCCTGGAGCATCCCCATCAAATACCAGTGATGTCAATTTCCAAAGTGGAATTATTGCAGCCAGGCATGCTATCAATAAACTTCATCAAGAGCTTGGAGCCAAGGGCTTTATTCAGGCAAGAGACCAAGTTTCCTAAATGTCTTTCTGAAAGTTTACAGGGGAAGACTTATCAGTTTGAGCACTCATTTCCAATTTGAGTGCTAATTAAGTGCTTTTTTTCACTTCTCAGGTGTATGTGGATCAGGTTGATGAAGATATAGTGGCCGTAACTAGACATTCACCCAGTATCCATCAGTCTGTTGTGGCTGTATCTAGAACTGCTTTCAGGAATCCCAAAACTTCATTTTACAGCAAGGAAGTGCCTCAAATGTGTATCCCCGGTAATGTAATCTAAAAATTGTTATTGTAATTATATCATTATATTAAATTATACTATAATGCCATATACATCATCATTATATGTTCTATATAACAAATGCAAGTGTGAATGTAGTTAAAAAGAGGAATTACAAATTTTGGATAACTTACATTTTTATTGCATGGAACAAAATCTGGACAGAAATACACTCAAATATTAACCTTTTTTTGAATTTTAAAATGTTTTGTTTACATTTTAATACATTCTGTTTTTCCTTAATATGTATATAATGAACATGTATTTGTCTTATATTCTGACATAGATAAATATTTCTTTTTATATGTGTGACATACATTTATATATGTGTGTATAAGTATGTATTGCATTTGCACACATACACATATATAAACAAAAATGGAAAATAGTCTGACATGATACTTAAGATTCCTTACAATCCATCCTCATCTACTATCCTAGCCCTGCATTACTCTACTGTTTCAGCCAAATAGATGTTTTCACTGTTTCCCAAGAAGTCTTATTTCTATCTGTATATGATTTATATCCTTCAAGGACTAAAGTTCCACCTCTTTGAAAAACCTATACATACTCAGTGATTTTTCTTTCTAAACATATAACAATCATATTCTATGTCTCTCTTTCGATACTTAATTATAAACTAAACCCCTGAGATATGTTATTATTTCTAGACTTTTTTCTAGATAAGTATATTTTATTTTCTTGTTATTACAGATAGTATATGATAGCATAGCATGATTCTGTGTAAGCAGCAACAGTACGACTTTGGAGAGTCTCATAAAAATAATCATATTCTATAGGTGTTCATTGCTGGTTGATAAATATGTATAATTCCAATCTTTAAATATTACCAACCTGAATAGTTTTAGTGTTAAATATTCCTTACTTTCCTTAACTATTAAATTTATATTCAGTAATCTCATTGAATCTTTACTAATATTCATAGATTTTTGTGTTTATTTTCTATTTTTTTTAGTTGTCAATGGATACAATGATTTTATTTATTTATTTATTTATTTTTATGTGGTGCTGAGGATTGAACCCAGTGCCTCACATGTGCTAGGTGAGCACTCTACCTTTGAGCCACAACCTCAGCCCTATTTTCTATTTTTGATGCTGGGGATTGAACCCAGGGTCTCCTGCATGCTTAGCACATGCTCTACTACTGACCCGTGCTCCCAGCCCCATCCCTTCATAGTTACTTTTATAGAACTCCATCACTGTACAGTATTATCTCAGGTTTTGTTTTGATCAGTAATGATTCTTAAAACATTTCCATCTGTTAAGTCTACAAATTGTGATTTTAAGTGTATTTTGTATTTTGTCATTCAGTTTTTAATAAAATGTACTATGTTTGGTAATATTCTTATTTAAATTTTGAATGTACATTAGGAACAATTTTTTGTTAATTTTTTAATATATTTGTAGGCAAAATTGAAGAAGTAGTTCTTGAAGCTAGAACTATTGAGAGAAATACAAAACCTTATAAGAAGGATGAGAATTCAATCAATGGGTTACCAAATATCACAGTAGAAATTAGAGAACATATTCAGGTATTTGGGATTCATCTCTTTCTATTATGTTGAATATTTTAAGGTCATGAGAATTATTTGTTGAATGGATTTTCATAATTTTTTTCAAGCTTAATGAAAGTAAAATTGTTAAACAAGCTGGAGTTGCCACAAAAGGGCCCAATGAATATATTCAAGAAATAGAATTTGAAAACTTGTCTCCAGGAAGTGTTATAATATTCAGGTATGTTAATTAGAGTTCAAATTATTGACTTTACTTATATTTAAAACAGTTTAACTGTAAACTTTGAATAAATCACTCCTAAAAATCAACCATTTTTTATTAACATTATTCAGAGTTAGTCTTGATCCACATGCACAAGTTGCTGTTGGAATTCTTCGAAATCATCTGACACAGTTCAGTCCTCACTTTAAATCTGGGAGCCGTGTTGTTGACAATGCAGATCCTATATTAAAAATCCCCTTTGCTTCGTAAGTATGTCTTATTTTATAGAGATTTAACATTTTAATAACTGGTGTGTTGTTGCTGTCTTGATTTAAACACGTTAAGGGTCCTCTCTGTCCATACTACTCAAAGTGTGGTGCAGGAACCAACAGTGTCAGCATCAGCTGTTGTTATCCTATTATATTATCATTCATGTGGATATTCACAGGGGTGCTTTCTCATTCTTGTGAAGTCTTTCTTCAGATATAGATATACATACATGTCTACATAAACAGAGACACACACAATTTTATTGAATTGGGATTAGGTTCTATATATCACACTCCTTACTACATCATTTTTTAAAAATTTTAACATATTATTCTATTATATGGCTACACCATGATTTATTCAATCATTTTCCATTTTGGACATCTAGAATGCTTCTAATTATTCCCTATTATTTATGTCTTTGTACATTCTTCTTGGAATAAATCTTTAATTATTCACTTTCTATGTGTTCCACTAATACTGAATAATATGGGTTTTGAAGCTTAGATGTAGGTTCAATTATAGTTTCATCACCATCAATATGATTTTAGACAAGTTATTAATAACTTTCTTCAGCTCAATCCTCATCTGGGAAAAAGGGCTTATAATAAATAGTATCTACCTCTTAGGTTTTGTAAGGATTAAATAGGGCAAATACAAACCACTTATAATAGAATGACTAGCACATAGATGGCTTGATGTGTTTGCTCTCATTCTTACTAGGATAATTTTCCAGAAATTAAATTTTGGGGTTAGATTGTATTATAAGATTGTGTCTTTCAGTCTATACTGCCAAGTCTTCTCCAGGAAGATTGTACTAATGAGAATATTCAGCTCAGTGTTAGAGTGTCCATCCTTACCAATACTGAATATATATTATTGTAATGCAGTACGTTAAAGCTGAGTATAGACCCAGACTAGGTAAGAATTATTTTTTTTGGATTCTTATTAGGTATAAGAAATAAGAATGAGTGCCTGTTAATGGAGAGTTGTGAGAATTATTCATATAAAACACATCGTGTTTAACACACAGTAAATGATCATAAATGTTAGTTATTACTAATTAAATTGGTAAATATGAAGTATAAAGTACTTTAAAATAACATCTCAACATATTAATTAAGTTTTTTGTCTGTTTGTATTTATATGGTGAAATGACATTAAAGAATTAAAGAATTAAGAAATTCAAACCGTTCTTAGCAAAGTAGCTGCTAAAAAAACAATCTGCAATAGATGTATGTTTCTGTAGAATGCTTATAAAAGCACATTCCCCCTTGAACCTACTCTGATTATTTCAGGGCAAGGGCAAGAAATCTACCTTCTAAACAGCTTTCAAGGATATTCTTGTGGAAGGAGTCCACTGGCTACATGTTGGAAAATAATGCCCTAAAGTAAAGTTGGTATTAAGTCTGCAAATGGTCAGTCTTGATTCATGAAATATAGCTGTGAGGAGAGAGGCTGAGACACTTAGACTTTCCTCTGACCATTATCAAGAAGCATCTTTTTTTCTGAGAAGATGCTGGTTTCTTGAATGATGGAACTGAGGGGCAGTGCAACCTGATACGAAAGATGGTGCCAGGAAAGAAATACAAAGGCAGAGACTGTTGTTTCTTAGGTGGTTAACTTTGACTTTTGATTATCCCTTTATTGATCCTTTGATAGGTATTCCAAGTTTTTAAGATAAACAGCATAAAAAGTTCTTTATGTCACACTTATCAGGGAAGAAACTAAGTCTAACTGAAAGAACTAAAAATAGACTTATAATATAAAGTATATAAAAAACCAAAAGATCCTTGTATTCTACCACCCCACCCCCAGTACTAGAGATTGAATCCAGGGATGCTTTACCACTGAATCACATCCCCAGGCCTGTTTATTTTTTTTATTTTGAGACAGGGTCTCATTAAGTTGCTTAGGGCCTTGCTAAATTTCTGAGTCTGGCCTTAAATTTGAGATCCTCTTGTATTGGCTTTCTCAGCCACTGGGATTGCAGGTGTGCACCACCACAGCTGGCTCCATCATGCCTTTTTTTAAAAAAAATAGTTAATTAATTTATTTTACAGAAGAATATACATTTTGACGTATAGTACACAAATGGAGCATAGTGTCTCATTCCTCTGGCTGTCCATGGTTCAGAGTCACTCCAGTAGTGTAATCATACATATATATAGGATAATAATGTCTGTCTCTTTCTACTGTCCTTCCCTTCCCCACAACCACACCTTTCCCCTGACTTCTTTGACTTCCCTGTACACAAACCAGTGTCCCTTCATTTTCCCCTATTCCCCACCCCACTATGGATCAGCATTCACTTATCAGAAAAAACATTCAGCTTTTGGTTTTTTGGGATTGGCTTATTTCACTTACCATGATAGTCTCTAGTTCCATCCATTTACCTGCCTAGGTCATAATTTCAGTTTTCTTTAAGGCTAAGTAATATTCCATTGTGTGTATGTGTCACATTTTCTTCATCCTTTCCTCTGTTGAAGGGCATCTAGGTTTGTTTCATAGTTTAGCTATTGTGAATTGAACTGCTATAAACATTGATGTGGTTGAGTCATTGTAGTATGCTGATTTTAAGTCCTCCATCATGCTTTAATCAATAAAATTTGGTACTTTAATCATGTACTTGGTTTTGGAGTATATTAGTTGTAATTTAATTTCTAGCATCTTGATTACTATTTATAACATATATATGATGTTTATTTTAATACTGAGTTCCAAAAATGTACATTACTAAGATACTTTATAATGCAGGTTTTATTCTTTTGCTTTTATTAAAAGCAAGTAAAATTCAGTATATTTAACCACTTATCTTTGTTTTTCAATTCTTAGTATTGCCTCTAAATTAACTTTGACTGAGCTAAATCAGATACTTTACCGATGTGAATCAGAAGAACAGGAAGATGGTGGAGGTTGCTATGACATACCAAACTGGTCTTCCCTTAAATATGCAGGTCTTCAAGGTAAGCAAGTATAAGAATAGACAAACTTTTCATTTTTCTTTTACAGACATAAAATGTCTTCTTTAAATAAATAGAAGTATGGGCTGAGAGTGCAAACTGCCTGGGTTCAAACTATGACTCTGCTCCATACTCATTGACCTTTGGCAAGTAACATAATCTCTCTGTACCCCAGTTCTTGCCTCAGTAAGATGTGAATAAATTGACTAATTCAGAAGGCTTCATGAGGAGTAAATAAAATTATTCAAGTAAAACACTATAACCAGGGTGTAGCACAAGGTATTCACTCAGTAAATGCTACCTAGAATTACTGGTCCTGTGTCATTTGTTCAAATCATCTAGAATTCTTAAATATACTTTAAACTTAATTAATATTTTTTGACTTGGTTTATTATGTTCAAAAAGCAGAATATGTTTGTTTAGTCTCCAAAAGAAACTGAGTTATAAATATAACACATTCTTCTTCCTTCTTCATCTAATTGGACTAATTGGATTTTTGTTCTTATTGCATATTTGTTTCCTCCTATAAAGGAACTTACAGGGCTAGGGACATGGCTCAGTGGTAGAGTTCTTGTCTAGCATGCTGAAGGCCCTGGGTTTGATTCCCAGCATCTAAGAGAGAGAGTGGGGAACAAACTTATATTAGTATATTATGTAGTTAGTGTATTTATAAGATGGGTTATAGAAACCAAATATTTAACTGTGAGTTTAATATTAATCTGTCTGGTTGGTAATATTTTCCCAGATTTTTGTATAAGAAATTTGTTTTATCAAACCCATATTTCTGGTTCATATATTTTCCCATTTGTCATGCCTCTTTTTTGACCTTTATTTCTTTGTCACTTAACCCTTCTTTAAGGACCAGTTTCATTTTTACACCTTCCATAAAGCCTTTCCTTGTATTTTTATTTTTTTAACGTTTTGTTTTCATTGCAGTACCAGGGATTAAACCCAGGGATGCTCTTCCACTGAGCTGCATCCCCTGCCTTTTTTTATTGTTTAATCTTGAGACAGAGTTGCACTAAGTTGCCCAGGCTGGCCTTGAACTTGCAATCCTCCAAACTCAGCCTCCCAAATTGCTGGGATTACAGGTGTGTACCGTCATGCCCAGCTGAACTTTTACAAACTATCGCTTTCTTCAGTAATTTCTTTGTTCTACAGACAGACACCCATTACCTTTATTTACTATACTTTCTGGAATATATTACCTTATTTTGGTACTTATAATTTTTTATGAATTTTTATCATTGTATTTAAGAAGCAGGTTCTAAAACTAGACCTAGGTTCCACTGAGTAGCTGCATAACCTTAGATGCCGCAACCTGGCTGAGCACAGAATCACAAGCCACTCAAGTAGGAACAAAAACTTTATTTTTAAAAAGGCCGCCAAATACCCCGTGCACGCCTGGCTAGCAAGCTGGTCCACACACGTGTGTGTGTCTACCGGAACCGGGGGCCCGGACCTCCCTCGGAAATTCCCTCCTACTATCCTTCCCCAACCAATGGGAACTCTCCGGGAGTCCCGTAACATGAGTCCCGTAACATGAGTCCCGTAACATGAGTAGCAGGCCGAGGTGAACAGCAGGAGTCCAATTTCCATATGAATGTAAATCTTAACATAATCATATCATCTCAATGGCTAGCTGGCAGTCACCTTAACCAAAGGTGCCATGTATCATAATACTTTTGCTGTGGCTCCTGGCACTTAGAGTAGTTAAACTCTCTATGGTTCAGTTTTCTCATTGAAAAATGTTGCTAATAATAGTATCACAAGGGATTGTTGATAGAATGAAGGGAGTTAATACATTTAATACACTTAGACAATACTGAGTTCATAATAAGCACTTAGGAAGTATTTACTCTAAAATTCTACTAAGATTATAACTTGAGAAAGAAGAATGTAGCTTTTAATTTTTTTTGTGGTTCTTGTCTTCAGCTTTTATACCTCCTACTAAAGCAAGCACATAAGTTCTAGTAAATTTTTCTGAGACCTGTTGTATTTATTGGCAAAACAAAGTATTTTGTTCTATGAGTAGTAAGTAAATGTATCTGTTAGTTGTTTTAAGCAGTTACCCTACTCCATTTTCACTCTAGCTGTTGTTCCTTCCTCCACACTTAATTCCATCCCTTTGGACACTGTCAGATCTGTTTCCTGAAACACTGTTCCCATCATATTTCATTGTTCAACAGTGGTACCAATATTTACTGAGCAACATTCACCTTTTACAAAAGTTTTAGGACATATGTAGAATGTTATTTTATACTGTCTTGCTTTCCAGATTTTTTGTATTTAGGCTTTATTTCCCAAATTTTCCTTCCCTTGAAGGAAAAACTTTATCTTAAATTTATTTATTTCTCAGAATATACCATATACACAGTTCATGGATTCATTGAATTCTAACTAAATTTAGTTGATATCACTGAAACCAAAATAACATTTTTAATAAGGTAGGAATGATTAATTTTTAATTTTAATTTTTATTGGTTCTTTTTAGTTATACATGACAGTAGAGTGTATTTTGATATAACTATATAAGCAGGGAATGTATTTTATTCTATTAAGGACATCATTCTTATGGATGTACACCTGGGTGGGATTCACAGTGGGGTATTCATACATGTACATAGCAAAATTATGTAAGATTAATTCCATTACCTTTTTTTTTTCTATTCCCCCTCCCTTCCCTCCATTCCCCTTTGTCTAATCTGAACTTCTGTTTTCTCACCACCCCGCCTTATTGTGGGTTAGCTTTCATATATCAGTGAAAACTTTTGGTTTTTGAGGATTGGYTTATTTCCCTTAGCATGATAGTCTCCAAGTCCATCATTTACTGGCACATGTCTTAAAGGCTGAGTAATACTCCATTGTGTATATATACCACATTTTTTAATCCATTCATCTTTTGATGCACGCTGAGATTTCATTTCACTCCAGTGAGAATGGCAATTATCAAGAATCCAAGTAACAATAATAAATGTTGGGAGGGATATGGGGAAAAAGGTACACTTATACATTGTTGGTGGGACTACAAATTGGTGCAGTCACTATGGAATACAGTATGGAGGGAGATTACTTAGAAAACTAGGAATGGAGCCACCATTTGACCCACTCCTTAGCATATATCCAAACAATTTAAAATCACATACTACAGTCATGCAGGCATTATAGCAGCATAATTCACAGTAGCTAAGCTATGGATTATCTTGTTGAATGATAAAAGAAATGCAATTGTTCTTTCATTGAATAGCAGACTCTGCTATGTACACATAGACATTCTAATGCATCTATTTGAGAATTTTGCCTAATAATTAATAATTTTGCCTAAATGAGAATTTGCCTAATATCTCACCTTGTTAATTTGCTTACTTTGAAGTGCCTCCTCAGAGTTCCTCTAAAGCAAGCTTTATTCTTCTTATCACCATAGGTATTCTTGCTTTCTCCGAGACCAGTTCTGTGATTTTCTTAAATCTTGCATGAATAATAATGAATTTACCACTTTTTAACATGGAAAGATACAGGATTATAAATTTTTTCTCCTTTATGCCTTAAGGCAAAAATAAAAATGCCAATTGACTTTGAATATTATAAAAGTAAAAAAAAAGTAGACCAGTGCCACAAGTTATAACTTTTGGGAAGCTTTGTATGAATTGTGGCAGTAGTCTCCATCAACACCCCTTTGCATCCTGGTTCCAGTCCATACCGCCACACTTTCCTCCTACTATGCTGAGTGCCATTGTGGACTAAGTGGCTATTTTGTCTGCTTCTCTGTTCACATCAAATCATCAGGACTAGCCATAACTCAACTATGGGACATTTTGACTTTACCAGTAATGCAGCATGGCATATCTGAATTTTCAGGGCTAATGTCCGTATTGGCAGAAATAAGACCAAAGAATGACTTGGGGCATCCTTTCTGTGAAAATTTGAGATCTGGAGATTGGATGATCGATTATGTCAGTGGCCGGCTTATTTCACGTTCAGGAAATATTGCTGAAGTAAGTATTAAATAAGTAAGCTGTGTTCTAGTCTAAAATAAGCAAAGGCACCATAAGAATTATTATATATAGATATATACATTATATATATATATACGTGTATATATATATATATATATATATATATATATATATATAAAATATTTACCTGTTTTCCTCCCTTCTTTGTGTTTCTAGTTTTAATACATGGAAATTTGATTCATGAATTATTGGATAGCACAGTTTCATGTTATGATTTATCTCTTAAAATATGCATAGCCTGTGAACACACCAAATTAACTTTTTAAATTATTTTTACAACAGGTTGGTAAATGGTTGCAGGCTATGTTCTTCTACTTGAAGCAGATCCCACGATACCTTATCCCATGTTACTTTGATGCTATATTAATTGGTGCATACACCACTCTTCTGGATGCAGCATGGAAGCAGATGTCAAGGTATATCCAACAAATCTTATGTAAATAGGTGTGTTTGCATAGAAACTATACATAGAGTCACTTTACACATGCTCTTAAAAGACCAAAGCATGAATTTTGGAGACTCAGAAATGGAAAAGTTTTTAAGTAGAGAGTAAACTTATTAACATCCTTTAGTCTGAAACATACAAAAACAAACCCATGTAAAATCTGTTCTATATAAAATATGTTTGGGAAAAATTAACTTGTTTTATGTTATTTGTTTCTATTTATTTATTCATTGATTTGTTAAAGTTAATTGATATAATGTTTAGAATATGTACATAGAGTTCTTTCTCTAACTTTCATCAATTAAAAAATATATATTCTGGTATTATTATGAATGAAATCTGCCTTTTACAATGAAATTTTCTAAAATAAAACTACAAATGGAAATGAATTATGAGAGCCAGCAAGTTGATTTGGGCATATTTTCAGATTTTTCAGAAAGAAAAAGCACTTCAGTTCTGCCATTTGTGTTACAACAAGGCCTGGACTAAAGCCGGCTAAAATAATGGATGCCATGAAAGCAGTTCTGAAATCTAATAAAATTGAACATTTTTTTCCTACAATATTACTATCTTTATACATTTGTGTGGAGAAATCATTTGAAGGGGAAAAACAGAATAAAACTGCTAAAAAGTTTTGTATTTTTACAGATCATATCACTTTCATTACAGCTTTGTTCAGAATGGTTCAACCTTTGTGAAACACCTTTCACTGGGTTCAGTCCAAATGTGTGGAGTAGGAAAATTCCCTTCTCTGCCACTTCTTTCACCTTCCCTTCTGGATGTACCATATAGGTTGAATGAGATCACAAAGGAAAAGCAGCAGTGTTGTGCTTCTTTAGCTGCAGGTAAGAAATTTTGTAGAAGGTTGAAATGTATAAGTCAATAGTATTCAAAAGGAAAACTTACAAGAAAAAGACTTTTTAAAAAAAATTAATGAAGTTATCCAAGACTGTATATTATTGCTTAGTAAAATTTCATAGATACTCCTAAAATACTAACCATGTTATTATTTAACTATAACTGTGTATTGGCATTTATGTGTGTTTTTATTGTATCTGGTTAATCCTTTTCTTCCAACTCATGGTATTATTTTAAATAATATTTAAAATATATGTTTTAAATCATTATTTTACTATCCATTTTCCTATATCTCTTCCCAGTTTTTAAAATAAACTTATCTAAAGATCATTTAAAGGTGTCCTATAAGTTACAAAACACAAAACTGATTTTACATAACTATTATATGGGGATTAGGGTTGTGGTTCAGTGGTGGAATGCTTGCCTAACATCTGTGAGCCACTGGATTCAATTATCAGCACTGCATATAAATAAATGAATAAATTTAAGGTCTATCAACATCTAATAATTTTTTTTAATATTTTTTAAGTTGTTGATAGACCTTTATTTTATTTATTTATATGTGGTGCTGAGAATCTAACCCAGTGCCTCACACATGCCAGGCAAGTGCACTAACCCTGAGCCATAGCCCCAGCCAAAAGTAATAAAAGTTTTAAGAAATTAATATTATTATGCATCCAGATGCTGTCAATTGGACATAAAATACTTCCAGCCATGTTTATTGGCATCTGTTCCTGAAAGTACATTAAAAAATTCAATCAAATAACAAATATGAGTAAGCAAAATAGGATAAAGAACAGGCTTTTTTAAAAAACAAATTTCCATCATATTCCTGGAAAATATTTAATACTTGAGGTCACTGAAATTGAGAATTCTCAAAACTAACCTGAAATATGTGAAATTGTAGAAAGTAATATATATTCATGGCTCCCTCTGTTAAATTTAAATTTCTTTAAATTTGTATCTGCTCAGATCAAATGAAAAGGCTTCATAGTACCCAACAACTACAATAAAAATTACCTTTTCATTTAGAATGATCATAAAAAAATCATAAAACTCTTTTTTGGGAGTGGAGATGTAGCTCAGGGGTAGAGTACTTGCCAAGTATGTGTGAGGCCCTAGGATCAATCCCTATCACCACACAAAAAAAATTTTTTTATTAAAGAATGAAATTAAAACTCTGGTTTAGTTTTATAATTGTTTCATATTTTCACTTGACTGTTTGATCTTCTAGTACCTGTCATTTCCCAATGAATCCATGCAAATACTCATGAAACTGAACTGAGCCATTGTGGGGAAAAAAACATGCTGATATGAAGAATTTTAGGTTTTAGCCTATTTTATAGAAGCCTATTACATCAAATAGTAATCTCAGTCTTTTGATTGTATGCTGTTGCTGTTAAATACCCCTAATACATGCATTTATTTATAAATTGTATACCAATATATGTTAATGGTACCTGATAATGCTTACTTCCAAGTGTAGTATAGTAAGTAAATAGAAATTCTGGTATTTTTTTCTAGCATGGAATGTTTTGCCTAGTGCTTACTGGCAAAAATAGAATAAACTCAGATTTGCAGGTAGGTTTTTTGGAGGTTCATTTTAAAATGGCTGGGAATTTATTTCTTTGGTGACAGTATTGCAAAACATGTTATAATTATAAACTTTTATAATAATTGACAAAGCAGAAATTATTCCAAAGATATATGATCTATAAGTTGTATACTCTCAGAGATGAAAAGGTTAATATGGGTGTGTGGGGAGGGAAAAATAGTTGTTTGTTTGTTGGATTAGTCAAAGGGGAGTGAACAGAAGCAAAGATGGTAATAGGAAGCCCGTAGAATGAATTGGGCAGTAACTTTCCTGTGTACATTATGAACACATGACCAGTGTAACTCCACATCATGTACAACCACAAAAATGGGAAGTATATTCCCTGTATATATAATATGTCCAAATATACTCTACTCTCATGTATATCTAAAAAGAACAAATTAAAAAAGTTAATATAAATATTTCCACATATCAGTGATACAGATTTTATAGCCTTTCCTTTTTAACAAAGACAGACTGTATGTATTTTAGGATATACAAATTTAAAGTCACCTTTGAATCTCTCTATCTATGTTTCATACAAAATGTTGAATGGGTTAAACTATAGGAATGCTATCTGACACAGACTGCTACCTATATGTTAGCTCCTGTCATTGTCATCATCATCAAAGTTTGTAGCCATCAATCATGTATATCAACCATTATTTAAAAATACACAGTGTGGGCTGGGATTGTGCCTAGTAAGAGTGAGGAACTGGGTTCAATTCTCAGTTCTGCATATAAATAAACAAAGTCCATTGACAACTAAAAAACATATTAAAAAAAACACAGTGTGTTTAGGGAAACTCTGTACTATCATTTTGGAGATAGCATAGAAAAAAATGTCTAATGTTGCCCTTTGTTCCAATATTTCTCTTTTTATTCTTTCTCTTTTTCTTTCTCTCTTTTTTTTGGGGGGGGGTTCCCTTTGGCACTGGGGATTGAACCTAGGGTGCTTAACCACTGAGCCACATCTCCACCCTTTTTTAATTTTTACTTTGAGACCAGGTCTCACTAAATTGCTTAGGGTCTCACTAAGTTGCTGAGGGTGGCTTTGAACTTGTGATCCTTCTGCCTCTATCTCCTGAATTTCTGGAATTATAGGCCTGTGCCACTGTACCTGGCTGCTTCACCATTTTTTGACTTTTTTTTTTAGTACAAATAACAGTTAACAATCATATTTCTTCAAATGTTTTATAAAATCCAACTCGAATGGGAATGTAAATCAGTGGTAGAGCACTTGCCTAACATGTACAAGGACCTTTCTTCAATCTCCTGAATCACAGGGGAAAAAAAAAAATAAAGAAACTCAAATCAGTTTAAAAGTAAAATTTTAGAATTTTTCCTATTACATATTCTATTTTTATCTTACACATAAAAGTTGTAATTACCAGGAATGTTCATTGTTTAGCATACAAAATCCCGTTTTCATCTGCAAAAAATTTTTATGAAAGTATAACACTTTTTAAAAATTCATTTATTTTTACTTTTCCTTTTTTGAGGGGGAAGGTACTGAAGGTTGAAACTAGGGGTGCTTTATAACTGAGCTTCATCCTAGCCCTTTTTTATTTTATTTTTTAAATTTTGAGCCAGGATCTCATTAAGTTGCTTAGGGCTTTGCTAAATTGTTGAGACTGGCCTCAAACTCGTGAACTTCATGCTTCAGCATTCCAGATTGTTGGGATTACAGGCTTGTGCCACCACACCCAGCCAAAATATATTTATTTTCAGTTGACAAACATTATATTTATTTATTATATACAAAGTGTAACAGTATTAATTTATTTTAAATTAATAGGAAATTTGGTAATATCTTTGGCTCCAGAATATAGAGTAATATATGTATTTAGTTGGTTATCATTCAGGTAATCATTTCATATTTAGATTTATTTATTATCCTTAAAGGCACGGTAGAATCTTTAAAGCATGTACTTAGTATCATATTATATTACTTTATATGTTAAATATTTGATTTCTGGCTTTTAATTTATTAAAATAAAGGTTTTTGTCTTTTTAAAGATATCTTGAAATCAGTTGTCTAGCAATCTTAAAATCAATTGTCTAGCACTTGTTCTTGGGGCAGAGGATGTAACTCAGTGGTAAAGTGCTGGCATAGCATACAGGAGTCCCTGGGTACTATCCCCAGAACCTCAAAAAAAAAAAAAATCTAGCACTGTTTTCTAATCTCCTTTGGGACTTTTAAAATCTGGTAAATCAGATGTGGTGGTACACACTATATTCCCAGCATCAGAAGCTGAAACTGGAGAATGCCTGCGCAACATAGAAAGAGCCTATCTCCAACAAACAAGCAAAAAATATCCTGATAAGAATATAGAATTGGGGCTGGGGTTGTGGCTCAGCAGTAGAGCACTTGCCTGGCATGTGTGGGGCCCTGGGTTTGATCCTCAGCAACACATATAAATAAATAAAATAAAGGTATGTGTCCAACTACAACTAAAAACTAAATATTTTTTAAAAAGAAGAAGAATTGCTCTGGGGGTGGTGGCACATGCCTATAATCCTATTGACTCAGGAGTTGGAGGCAGGAGGATCATGAGTTTAAAGCTAGCCTCAGGAATTAAGGCATGCTGACCCTACGGAATGTAGTGAGACCCTGTCTCAAAATTAATAAAAAAGCCTGGAAATTTGGCTCAGTGGTTATATATATATATAAATTTCATTCCATAAAAGTTGACATACCAGGCATACATTTTTGCAGATAAGTTTAGAGAGTTTGCAGACACATTGTAACTTACTCTTCTACCCCATGTTTAGAGTAACTATTGTGTGATAATACAGTTTATTATATTTATATTTACATATATTTATCTTTTCTGTTAGGCTTACCTCATTTTTCTTCTGGTCTTTTCCGCTGCTGGGGAAGGGATACTTTTATTGCACTTAAAGGTTTACTGCTGGTTACTGGACGATATTTAGAAGCCAGGTAAGAGATCATCTAAAAAGTTGCAATGTAAGTTTATGTCTTAATGTTTTCTATATGTTCTTCAAACATTTCTTCTGATCCATCTAGTCTCAACATTTGAGAGGTATGTTTTCCATAAATTTTTCAATGGTATTTTTATAAATGTTCATTGAAAAATATAAGAACAATTTAAAGGAGGGAAAACTCTTTGAATTTACCAAGTTCTACTCATTCATATTATAGGTTAGGTTATGTTCAGAATTTGTAAGTTTATTTTTATAAGAAAATTTTTGATCATTTTATGTCTTTTATAATGAAGTTACTGCTGGCTTGTTGAGTCTTACAGAAAAAAAAAAAAGATAGCAGCTTTCCTTTTGTTTGTTGCAAGCTTATAAGCTCCAGTTTCCAGATTCAAATGATCTTTTCTTATGTCACACAATAATATAAATGAATTTATTGGAAGTTGAAAAAAAAGTTCTGCAGCAGTGTGATTCAGAATGTTCCACAAACCAGTACTAACACCATCATCTGAGAACTTGTTAGAAATGCCTATTCTTTGTGCCTATGGCAGACCCCCTGAATCTTAACCTGGGGATGGAGAGGGCAAGGTTGGTAGGAGAAACTGTATTGACATCATCTAGGTAGCAATCACCAACTGGAAGTCTGGTTAGGAAATGCGAAATGGAACAACTATTTTGACTATCTATACTACAGGGGTGGTTTTCCTTCCTCCCTTTGTAGAGGTATTCATGGATCAGAAATCTTTTTATTCAGTTTTCATGTGTATGACATTTATCTGGATGGTCAAGATTGCTAGAACTCTCATCTTTTATTAATTGGGAATGTCATGTGCATACGGACCCTTTTGTATTTTAGAAAACAAAACTTTCCTATTGTACTATTACTGGACAAACATTAAACTGAGATATAGAATTAATAAAATTTCTGAATGTTTTAGTTAAAGAGACTAGATGTTTTCAAATAACTTTTTCCAAGATCATACAGGTTGGCAAAGCTAGGATTTAGACCTCAGCCATATTATTTCTTAATTTTATGATCTTTCCAGAACACAACTCCATCTTACAAATGAGGTACACCAAATCTTACATCTCATTTGGTGTATGATAGTAGAATACTATTTTTAAATTTTAAATACCAATTTTTAAAATTGAGTGGTTTTTTTAAAGTCAGCTTCTAGCCATCGGTTTTCTTATATATTTGCTTTGCTTTTGGTATGTTATAAAATAAAAGTTTGTGCCTAATAATTACTTGGATTTTGAAATACTATGGGTTTCAAAAGTAGAATCTAGAGCTATAAGGAACTTTAAAATCACCCAGCCCAATCCCTGACTACACAGATGAAAAAACTGTTCCAAAGAGGGAAAGTCACAAATTGTTAGAGAAAAAGCCAGGGCTGCAACCAAAATCTCTTACTTTCAATTCAGTGCTTGTTTATCATATTATGACCGCTTTCTAAAAATATATACAAAAAGAAATAAGGACAAGTGAGAAAATACTTCCATGACACAATCACCAAAAGTGAACATGTTTGTGTTCAGTTTTTAATAGTATGTTTTCATTTCAAATGATCCATTCAATTCTGTTGTTTAGGAATATTATTTTAGCGTTTGCTGGTACCCTGAGGCATGGTCTCATTCCTAATCTCCTCGGTGAAGGAACTTATGCCAGATACAATTGCCGGGATGCTGTGTGGTGGTGGCTCCAGTGTATTCAGGATTACTGTAAAATGGTTCCAAATGGTGTAGACATTCTCAAGTGCCCAGTTTCCAGAATGTATCCAACAGATGATTCTGCTCCTTTGCCTGCTGGCACACTGGTAAAGAGAATTTATTAAAACATTTTTCTTGAAATATGACTTATTTCCTAATACACAGTGAACATAAAACTGCTCCTTGCCTAAAGAGCTTGTTACATGGTAGAAGAGATGATGTGTCCACATAAACATGGTCATTGCAAATATGGACAAGTAGTACTATGCAGTCTCATATAAGGGAGAGAGGAGTAGTAGGTGGGACTCAGGGAGGAGGACTTATAAAGTAGCTAAAATTTCACCTAAACGGATTCTTAAAATGTGAGTAGGATTATAGGAGAGTTTGTGGGAGAGTATGGGAAGACTTGAAAGATGAAAGGAACAGTGAAGCATATTGAGTTGAAGGACAGTTTAGGACATACTGCTCAGCCTAGTTTCAATTTCTGTGTAAAACACCTGAGGGTAGTGAGAGAATATGGAAAGGGTGAATCAGGTGTAGAGGGTTTTGTCAACCAATCTAGGTAGTTCAGAGTCTATCTTATGAATGATGTTGAACTGATAAACATTTTCAAGTGTTTTTCCCCAATAGGGAATGTACAATAATACTACGTTTTTGTCACTTCTGATCTGCTTTTGTTATCATGTGTTCAGTATAAGACTTCAGGGGTGGTGAAAACTGCTTCAGGGCTTGCATGTTTGTGTCCCCATGATGTTTATATTTATCACGAAATACTCAAAAAACATATGTCAAAAAATAATTCTTTATCTATGTTCCATTGTCCTACATGGGTTAATGTTATCAAGTAAGTATTTATTTTAGATCTATTTATTTTCTCACAATTTGGTAAAAGTTGCACAGTATTTTTATGTGCTTCATACATTTTATAACTATATCAAGAATTTTTATATGATAGATTCAGATTTATTTACAGGTTTTTTTTAAAAAATAAAGTATAAAGTATAATCAAATATACAAGGACTCTAAATTTCATTTTTAGTTTATATGCTTCACCTTATTTTTTAAAAATACAATTATATATCTCCCTATATGTCATCCTAAGTATTACTTTATTATTAATATGGACAAAAAAAAATTATCTGTGGACTCTTTACATTCACTGGGATATTTTCTGAAGTCATCATAGATTCCCATGTTTGAGAGTACCACTTTTGCACATAATTTAATCACTATTACCTATGTGTGCAGAGGAGTAAGAATATTTAGGTGATAAATGACAAGCTAAACTCATTATTATTTATTGTTCTGATAGAAACTATTCAAGCTCATCATTTCACCTATCTGCAAAATTACAAATTATTTTGTCACAGGCCTGAATAGTAAAAACTACTAATGTTAAATATTCATATGACAGATTGTATTATTTTGTGTAGTGGGAGCTGCTGCCTTTCCCTGGGCCTACTCCAATCCTTATTTCTCCCTCCAAAGAAAAGTATGTGTTTTCATATTACTTAAGTTGTGGGATTTAGGAGACGATAAGTATGTAGTTTCTAATAGAGGTCACATCCATTCTGTCTTAAACAGGATCAGCCATTGTTTGAAGTAATACAGGAAGTCATGCAAAGACACATGCAAGGCATACAGTTCCGAGAAAGGAATGCTGGACCACAGATAGATCGAAACATGAAGGACGAAGGTATGGAATTTTAACTCCATAGTGAATATTCACTGATGCAGAGAAATTAAACCTTGTAATCATTCTCTCACTTTGCAGTAATGGGTGAAAAACCTTAGGATATAACAATGAGACAGATAACACTGTTTCTGATCTCACCTAGTTTTTAGTTTCTAGAGGAAATATGAAATTTCATATCATTCTAGTCAGCCAATATTAACAGTAATATTGATGGTTACAATTTATAATGATAACATCAATATTTTTTTAAAGAGAGAATTTTTTAATATTTATTTTTTAGTTTTTGGTGGACATAACATCTTTATTTTTATTTTTATGTGGTGCTGAGGATCGAACCCAGCGCCCCGTGCATGCCAGGCGAGTGTGCCTCCCCTTGAGCCACATCCTCAGCCCCAATAATATCAATATTAATTGCCATGAATTGAATCATTATCTGGTAGGCATTGTGCTAACTACTTAACCTATGTTGTTCCAATTTAATACTCCCAAGAACATTTGGAACAAGTTATTTTGTTTTCATTTTTACTAAATGAGAAAACTGAAGAGTAGCCTGCCCAGAACCACAGAGCTACTAAGTGGCAAACTASGATTTTTTCCCTGGTCTCTCTCTTTGGCTTAGGCTCCTATAAAACAGTTTTTACAAAAAGGATATATGTATATCAAGTTAAAATTGATAAACTTTTAACTTCTTCTTCCTTATTTTATAGTACACAATCATTACTAGCCAATGCAAGGCTAATTGTTTCATTTTTCCCCTATTTCTCTTAGAGAATCATTCTAATGCATTTATTGTATATTTATTTTTATAAAACATGTATTATTTTATTTATATATCATTTTAATGTTTTATTAGTGCATTATAGTTATATATAATTTTGGGTTCATTTTGAGATAGTCACACAACCATTTGTTCCATTTCAGTCCCTAGTATTTCTTCTTTTCTTCCCCTATTCCCTCCACCCATGTTCATGCTGCCATATTCCCTTTCCTCTACTCTACTGGTTTTTTATTTATTTATATAGTTTTAATTGGTGATTTATAGATGTACATAAAGGTGAAAATCATAATTTGGTCAATTGCATTCTACTGTTCCTCTCCCATCCTGTCTCCCTCCCCCTCTGCTCCACTGATCTCCCTTCAATTTTCATGGGATCTGTACCCTTTTCTTTTTTCCTTGTTTCTGGCTTCTGCATATGAAAGAAAACAGTATACCCTTTACTTTCTGGATCTGTCTTATTTCACTTAGATGCTGTTCTCCAGTTCTATCCATCTAATAGCAAATGCCATGCGTATCAATTTTTTAACTTTATAGTTTAGAGAGAATTTGAGATTCATAAAAGTTTGCAAAAAAGTAATACATGGAGAACCATGAACCATTCTCCCAGTTTTCCTCAGCTTTTCCCAATGGGGATGTCTTATATAACTGAAGTATCTTTAGGAAATTGACATTAGTGTGATACTGTTAACTAGCCTATTAACTGTTAACTAAACCTGATTTGGTTTCTAGTTTTTACATTTTCTCATCTGTGTGTCTGTGTGTTTGTGCATATATGATCACACTTGCATATATGTGTGCATGTAGTTCTGTGAAATGTGACTCCATGTATAACTTCATGTAACCACTACCACAATCAAGATACAGAACTAATCCATCACCACAAAAGTCTTTGTGTCTGTTCGCCTTTATAGTTAACACCTACCCACTCTACTGCCACACTTGAACTGTAACAACTGCTAATCAGTTCTCTCTATATATGATTTTATTATGTTGGGAATGTTATGTAAATTGAATTATACTGCATATAACCTTTTGAGTGGTTTTATTCATTAATCCTAATGCCCCCGAGATCCATCTAAGCGGTTGCATGCATTGGTAGTTTATTCCTTTTTGTTGCTGAATAGTATTCCCTCTTGGGGATGTCAGAATTTATTTAACCATTCATCCACTGAAGGACATTTAGGTTCTTCCATTCTTTTACTAATACAACTAATGTGAATATTTCATATGTAGATTTTTACATGACACATATATTTCATTTCTCAGGGAATGCCCAAGGATATGAATCAGTCATATAATGAGTGCCTGTTTTATTTTATAAGAAATTGCCAAACAATGTTCCAGAATGGTACCATTCTGGTTGATTTTCATCTACACTGAATCACCATTTGTTGTTATGGAGTTTTGTTTTGTTTTGTTTTCAAAGAAGTGCTAATGGTTGTGTAGACTGCTATACAATATTTGCATTTCTCTAATGTTAAACATCTTTTCATGTACTTATTTGCCATTGATCTTCCCTAATTGTGTTTTTCGCTTATTTTCTAATTGGATTACTGGTTTTTTGACTGTTAAGCATTTTAAAAATATTGTTTCAAAATTTTTATTATAAAATGTCCCAGTTTAGCCATTTGTAAGTGTGCAGTTCAGTGGCTTTAACTACATTCACATTGTTGTGTAGCCATCATTACTATCCATCTCCAGAACTTTTTTGTCATCCTAAACAGAAACTACCCAGTAAACAATAAGTACTCATTCCCCAGCTCCTAAAAATTGCCATTCTAATTTCTGTGTCTATGTATTTAACTATTTGAATGTATTTTTCCAGTGTCTGTTGCTATAACAAAATACCTGAGGCAGGCCACTTTATAAAGAAAAAGATTTGTTTAGCTCAAAGGTTTGGAGGCTGAAAGTATAAGCTGAAGCATCCCTGTTGAGTTTGGCCTCTGGTGAGGACCCTCTTGGTTATATCACATCATGCCAGATAACCTCATAGTGGGAGAGATTATGTGTGGGGGAGATCTCATGACAAGAAAGAAAGGCAGAGATTTAGGGGTCATGATCATTCTTATTCTTTGGAACCTAACCCCTTCTGAAAGGCATCGTTGATCTTTTCCAATGTAATGTCTCCAGTGACTCAACCACCTTCATCAGGCCACACCTCTTAAAGCTTCCAGCACATCTAAATCATAATCTGCGTACCTCATATAATTGAAATAATAATATATTTGCCCTTTGTTTCTGGCTTATTTCATTGAGCATAATTTTTTTACGGTTCAGCCATGTTGTATGTGTATCAGAATTCCAAAATTCTAAAATGAAATTTTCCATCTAACATTTTTCAAAACTAGAAATTACAACCAAAATAAGCTGGAAGAAAAAAAAAAACCCTCTTAAAACTTACAGAGATTCTCTTCCAGACTGTTTCCATGATTTTCATTAGAGAATCTCAATGGGATAGAGGGTCTTTATATGCCAAACAGAAATAAAGGACTTACCCTGGCTGTTCCCCTTGTTGGTAAGTATTCTTTCCACATCCGTGGCTTCTTAATGAAGCAGGCCTACATTCTCAAACCTGAAAGGTTGCCAGTCATTCTGTAGGCATCTGTCTTCTGGCACCACACCGTTATGTGCCAAGTCTACAGCTGAGTTCCAAGAAGGCCATACATTTTTGAATTGCAAATCTGTGCTAAGTATATAAGACAATGACTGACAGGAAAAAAATGTTGTTTAATTACAAACTCAATCCATGTGGTTTATTTATCAGTGAAAGAAGTTAGAAATTAATTCCCTTCTCCCCCTCCCCCCAAAAAACCCCAGCAAATAGCAAACAAATTTCCTTGGAAATCATAGTCACATGTAGAGTGCACCCTAGAAAAGAGAAGGGGCAAAACAGTTGCCTCCCACTTTCATGAGTTTCATCAAATACTGGATCTATTCAAGGGTGAAGAGAAAAGGCAACTTTCAAAAAGGCTGTGAGGGAAAATCTGTTCCAAGCCTCTCTCTTTATTTAGTATGGGATCTTCATGTTCACATGGCATTCTTCCTATAGTTCACATCATCTTCCCTTTGGGTATATCTGTGCCCAAATCTCCTCTTATAAAAATACCAGTTAGATTGGATTAGGGTCCACCCTAATGACCATTGTAACTTGATTACCTTTGTGAAGTTCAGTTTCTAAATAAAGTCACACTCAGATACACTGGAGGCCAGGATTACAATTTTTAAATTTGTGGGGAGGGATCCATTCAAACAAAAACAAAAATGTTTAGTTTTGAGAAGTATTTGTATACTACTGATGGCATTCCATTTTTATTTTATTTTTTTATTTATATATGGCAGTGGAATGCACTACAATTCTTATTAAACATATAGAGCACAATTTTTCATATCTCTGGTTGTATACTAAGTATATTCACACCAATTTGTGATGGCATTCCTTTTTTAAAATAATTTACAGTCAGGCATGGTGACGCATGCCTATAATCCTATGGCTTGAGAGACTAAAGCAGGAGGATTGCCAGTTGAAAGCCAGCCTCAGCAAATTAGTAAGGCCCTAAGTAACTTAGTGTGACCCTTTCTCCAAAAAAAAAGAAAGAAAATTTACAAATGTATTTATTGAGATATAAAATATTCTTCCCATGCTCCCTCTCCCTATCCCACTCTAGATAGGGCAGAGGGTTGGAAGAGAAGGGAGGGGGCATAGGTTATTAATGATGGTGGAACGGGATGATCATTATTATACAAAGTACATGTATGAAGATATGAATTGGTGTGAATATACTGTGTATACAACCAGAGATATGAAAAATTGTGCTGTATATATGTAATAAGAATTGTAATGCATTCTGCTGTCATATATAAATAAAAAAGAGATATAAAATATTTATGTTTTTATTAATTTAATCTGCTCCTAGGTATCTAGCCTATGAAATAATTTAAAACACATAAAAAAGTCATATTTTATGGTGATATTGATCATACCATCATTTATAATTATATAAAAGGAAGAAAGAGCCTTTACAATTAACATAAAATATTTACATTGACCAGAATGAAAAATTACAAAATTATACCTATGACACACAAATGTGAAATCTAGTAAATAAAAAATATTTGGATATAAGCCATTTATAAAAATATTACTGTATAAAAATATTAGAAGGAAATATATGTATTTTGATTTTAAAATATGATTATGGTTTTATAATTTATGATTTTAAAATATAATATTACATTTAAAATATATTAATATGTTAATATAATGGCACCATTTTTAATATAACGTAATGAACCTTTGAGTTTCTAGGTAACTCACTAAACTCATTGGCAAATATTGTACGTTCAAAATTACATTTTATATATTAATTTAAAATCATTAATTTATTATTTCTAGCAGTAACATTCAAATACTAACCCTGCTAACCCAAGTTAGCTGCTAACAATCACTTATAGTTCTTTAATCCTTCTTTATTCCTTCAGTAAATCAATAGAAATAGATTTTATATTTAAAGAACATATTTTGTTATATCTTTGAATTAATTTCATTTTTCATTTCAACTTACAGTTAGTGGTATAAATTCTACCTCAAACTTAGTACTCAAATTAAGCAGATATTAACATTTGGTTATATTTTCTTCAGATCTTTCTGTTTTTGTTTGAAAAGAAATAAACCATATCAGGTATATCCAAAGCTTCATTTCTCCTTTTCTTCCTTTCCTCTCTAGAATTAATGACTATCTTATAATCAGGGTTCACTATTTCCATGTATATTTTTAATGCTTTAGACTTTTGTGTGTATTCAAGTATATGCAAATTACATGTGATCTATGTTGTGTTGTATATATTCAGTGTACTATAACATATACACTGTGTAAATATTTGATGTATTTTAAAATTATACACAAATACATGTATAATTTCATGAGTTTCATATAGACCAGATAGACATGAATAGTTGTATACATTAGTATTATCTGTTTTAAGCTTTTACAGAAAARGTTTTTATTATACATCTCCTTTTATGACTTGTTTACTCAATTATTTTGTCTTGGGTATTTTTGTTCACATAAATCTACTTCTTTAATTTTATATGATATAGAGTGTTTCCCCATATATAAACAGCATTTAATCATTCCTCTACTGAGTGGCTTATTTTTTTTGCTGATAAAAGCAATGTAATGATGAATATTCTTATAAGCATCTCCATGTACACAGAAGTAAGGATTTCCCTAGAGTATATTTAGAAAGAAATGTAATTACTGTTCAATTTTACGTCTCTAATTTTTAAGATATTACCAAGTTGATCTTCAGAATAGTTGTCCTGGTTTATTATATTCCTATAAATTGTATAAATATTTTAAATAAAATATTAATTTGTATTTGCTATATATAATATGTACCAGTTATAGAACATTTGTTTTATACATGTTTTGGGCTTTTTAGGTTTTAATATAACTGCAGGGGTTGATGACAAAACAGGATTTATTTATGGAGGAAATCGCTTAAATTGTGGCACATGGATGGATAAAATGGGAGAAAGTGACAGAGCTAGAAACAGAGGAATCCCAGCCACTCCAAGGTAGTGTTTATTTTAAAGTGCTTTTGTAATTATGCCCTTTTTTTAAAAAAAAATATTTTTAAATATATGTATTTTAGTTGTAGGTGGATACAATACCTTTTTTTAAATTTTTATGTCATGCAGAGGATCGAACCCAGCGCCTCAGGCATGCTAGGGGAGTGCTCTACCACTTGAGCTACAACCCCAACCCCTAATTATGCCCTTTTAATTTACCATTTTAGTTTTTAAAAACACATACTTGTACAATCTTTACTCTATTAATGATGTATTCTTCATAGTAAATCAATAAAAATCTGCCTCTCTTCCTCTCTTCTATTTTCTGACTCATCCTTTCTTTCTCCTTGTCATGCAGATATGTTCCTTTTGATACATGTTATATAACAAAGCTCTCTGTTCTTTTTTTTTATTTTTTAGAAATTATCAAGGTTTTAGCCTCTGCAAGTACTTCAAAATCAAGTCTTATGATCTATCATCCCAATGGTTAATATTTCATTGTGCATATCTTTTTTAAATATGAGCAACCATCAGTTGTTCTGTATTTTATGAAGTCTTTTCACTTCATAAAAAGGGAATCTTTTTTCTTCCTAATTCTTTAAACTTTTGTCCCAGAATTTGTCATTTTTCTTTTTTTATTTCAGAAGCTATCAACAAATAGCTTCTTGTACTATATTAAGCTGAGAAGCTCTTTTCTTCAAATTTTATCTTCAGTCAGAATTATCTAAAAAATAATTTTTAAATAGTTGCTACTGGACGGAGGGGTGTAGCTTCCAGGTAGAACACTTTTTGGGTGAGGCCTGGTTTCAGTCCCCAGCAAAATTATATATTCCTTATAAAGTTAGGATTTCTTAGTAGATAGTTGCTTTTATAATGAAATGCTTATACTATTTATCAGAATTGTTTATCAAATACCTTCTTAAAATAGTGCCTAAACAAATCCTACTTAGAGAATAAAATTTATTTTTAATTTTAGAGATGGGTCTGCTGTGGAAATTGTGGGCTTGTGTAAATCTGCCGTTCGTTGGTTGCTGGAATTATCCAAAAAAAATATTTTTCCTTATCATGAACTTAGAGTAAAAAGACATGGTAAGCTGTTCCTTTTATTTACAAAGAAACTTCTAATACTGTCTGTATTTTTAACTATGTACTCATCATTTGATGCAGTTAGCTAATATTAGAAAACCATAAATTTCAAGAAGAAAGAAAAATTATTAATCTACTCTATGGAAATTGTAGCAAATCTAGTCACTAACCATATTTTTGATAGCGGTTTAAACTGAGGTAAGAAAAACAACATAGTTACTGCCTTATTGTGCTTTTCTTTTATCTTAGTGTGACTGTGAACAGGTTCTATTTTCATGAACAATTTTGAAATCTTTACATCTTTTTTGAGAAAATTCTGTCCCATTGAAATATTATTTGAGCCACATAAATAATTTAAAATTTTCTAATTCATTTGTTAAAAGTAAAAAGAAATGGAT